CCTTCAAGCAACTAGAGAATAGTGGCATCACAAATACACAAATGTGCCACATCCAAGACCCCTTTTGAGACCTTTCTGCTTGGAAAATAGAGTTGTTGGGGAAATATCTGTCCTTGAGAATCTGACTCACTAGTAACTCAGGATTTAAAGCTATTCTCCAAAGTTGTTTACAAATGAGGGCTTCATTGAAGAGTTTGATGTCATGGAAGCCAAGTCCTCCCTTGATCTTTGGCAGTGTGACCTTTTCCCATTTTATCCAGCAGATACCAGTACTATGTTGATCTCCTGATTTCCACCTGAACTGAGCACAAAGCTTGGAAATTTCATTGCAGATGGAGATGAGAAGTTTGAAACAAGACATTGTGAAGATGGGGAGTGCTTGAAGGACAGATTTGAGTAACACTTCTTTTCCTGCAACTGACAGAAGCTTTGATTTCCAGTTATGCAACTTGCTTTTGATTGAGTCCAAAATGTAATTGAAAACCTCTGTCTTAGACCGGCCTATGCCCAAGAGGAGCCCAAGGGGAGCCCAAGGTACCTAGTGGACCTGTGTGGGACAATGCCATTGAGTTCTCTGTAAATATTATCCTTGAGGTACTGAGGTGTATTTCTGCTGAAGAAGATAACAGACTTCTCCAAGTTCACCTTTTGGCCAGAGAACAATCTGTATTTCTCAAGGAGGGATAGAAGATGTTTAGCTTGATCCATTCCTTCTCTGAGAAAGAATAGGGAGTCATCAGCAAACAACAGAGAGGAGAGGGCATGACCATTTCTAGATAATTTAATGCCATGAAGGTGACCCAGAGCTTGCATTCAGAACCAAAGCAGAAAGGAGCTCAGACACAATGATGGAAAGGTAGGGGGACAATGGGTCCCCCTGTCTAATGCCCCTTGAAGGAGATATGTAACCACTTACTGAGCCATTCACCTTGAATGAAATTGTTGTTGAGGATATGCAGACCATAATAAGTTTCACAAAGTCAGGGTAAAAACCCATCAGAAGCATAACTCTGTGGAGGCACTTTCACTCCAATCTGTCAAATGCCTTCATAAGGTCTAGCTTAAGGGCCATAAAATATATTTTGCCAGTAGAGTGCCAGTTGAGAAAATGGAAGGTTTCTTGAGCTATGATGATGTTGTCAGTGAGTTGTCTTCCCTTTACAAAGGTTGATTGACGGATACTCACACAACAATCCAAGCAAACCATTAGTCTCTGAGAAAGCACTTTTTAAAGGACTTTGTAAAGCACACAACACAGACTAATAGGTCTGAATTGACTTAGGAGCTCTAGGTTGGCCACTTTAGGAATGAGTAAGGGAATAGTGTGATTCCAATATTTGAGGAGTTTGTCTTAGTTATAGAAACTGAGAAAAGCCTCCATGATATCTGATTTAATCGTGGTCCAGAAATATTGATAGAATAAAGCACTCATGCCATCCTCACCTGGGGATTTGTCTGGATGAAGTGAGAAAAGAGCAGTCTTTACTTCTTCTTCTGTCACTGGTTTCAGTAGGGCTTTTATTCATATCATCAGATATAGTCTGTGGGATAAGAGGGAGTATAGAATCTCCATCATAGTTGCTTTCTAAAGTGAAAAGATTGGAGTAGAACTCTGTAATGTGCTCCTCAATTTCACTCTGATTGGTAAGTTCTCTGCCGCTGGAAGAAATGATTCTTGTGATGGCATTAAGTCTCCTCTTGTTTAAAATATAGGCATGGAAGAACTTTGTGTTGCCATCTCCCTCCTTAAGCCATCTCAGTCTATATTTTTGCTACCAATAGAGCTCTTCAATAGTATGGGCTTTGTTGAGATCAGCTTTTGTTTGGTCCCATTGCTCCTAGTAGTTTGCATCTTTGCTTTCTCTGAGCACCTCCAGCTTTTTAGTAAGTGTTTCAATGTTTTGCTGGTTCTTGGACTTGAGTTTAGAACTCCACAGGAGAAGAGCTTGTCTGGTTAGCTTCACTTTCTCTTTTAGTCTATAGAAGGGAGTGCTTTCTGTAGGTTGTTGCCATGTTGCTTCCACAGTGTCCTTGAATCCCTCCATACCAATCCATCTCTTGTCAAAATGGAACTTGGCTTCTCTTTTGGTTGGTGTTTGGCCCAAGTCAAGAAGGAGCATGGAGTGATCTAAAGAACTTTTAGTCTTAGTAGTGATGACAACATTAGGGAAAGATTGATTCCAGTTCATAGAGCCAAATCCTCTGTCAAGCTTCTCTTCCACTAATCCTTCTTTTGATCTGAGGTCGCACCAAGTGTATTGATAGCCTTGCATTGGCAGTTCAACCATTTCCATGGTATTTATAAAGCTGTTAAAACCTATAAGACTTCTGGCATTCCTTGGAATTTCCCCTGCTTTTTCTTCTGCTGCACATGGGTCATTCCAGTCCCCTATAGCAAACCAGTTGTGGCCCCATTGAACTTTGTCATGTTCCATTTCAGCCCATTTTTCCATCCTCTTCTGCTTGCAGGTGCTCAAATAGACACAAACACCCCACTGGGGTTATAAGAATCCAGAGAAAACTCAACTGCAATGTAGAAGGATTTTTTCAGAATCTGGTTGATAGTAACATTAGCATCCCAACACAGAAGAAGCCCACCACTTCAACCCATTGGATCCACTATTGAAAATCTATCTTCATAACCAAGCTTTCTACCTACAGATTTTTTTTTTTTATATATATAAACATCCCAGATTGGGATGGAGGGTTGAGGCTACACCCCCGACCTGTGAATATAATGGCCCAGCTAGGGCTAAAAAGTCAATGGTCTAAATCCAAGTCGGAAATACATAGAGCAACATCAAGATCAGAGAAAATAAAATAAAAAT